GTAACGCCCAAGTATTTTACTTGGTCGCTTTTGTCCATAGTTGTGTTTCCTTTAGTATATGTAATGTTAAGGGGGTTGGTCCTATCTGTGAATGAAATGAAGTGAGTTTTGGTTCTGTTTAATATTATTCCCTAAGTATCACACCTGGAATAGATCATTTGCAATGACCTGTTCAGGTTAACTTGATCATTGGAGTTGTGTACGACTGTGTACATGGCACAGTCGTCTACGAATAGTCATATTTGAACAGGATTATTAACAGAAAATTGAATGTCGTTAATAAACATTAAAAACAAAATTGGGGCAAGTACCGATCCCTGAGGTACTCCAGAGTAAACATCAAGCGGTTGCGATAGATGGTTGTCGATTGTAACTCTCTGTTTTCGTTTGGTTCAAAAACTGTTAATCTACGCTACTATTTTATCATCAATCTCAAAGACCGATACTTTTTTATTAAATCTTTGTGTGAAACAACATCGAACACTTTAGAAAAGTCTAAAAAATGGCATCTAAGTGACTGTTCTCGTTAATTGCATTGGCTATGTCGTGAGTTAATTCAGCTAATTGGGTTGTAGCTGAGAGACCTAATCTGAAGCCATGTTGATGTTGGTAAAGGAGCTCATTTGTTTCTAGGTGAGTTATTATGGCTTTGAAAGTTATATACTCTTATATTTTACAGCATGAGATCATAAGCGACACTGGGCGGTGGTTTCTTATTTGTAGCTTTGAGCCTGATTTGTGTATAGGGACTGCTGCAGCATTGCACCAGTCGTCCGGTAATTTCGAAGTGTGTAGAGATAACGTGTATATAATAAAGACATATTTAGATGTTCATTACGCATATCGGCATAAAAATCTTTGTTGTGCGTGAAGTCCTTGCATTGCGTCATTTAGATCGCAGAGTCTCGTGTTTCGGCGAATTAAAATGTAGAATAAAGGTTCTTTCGCAGGTAGAGAGGGAGCAAAAACAAAAGTTTAATAACTCAGACAGACAAGAAAAGCGTCCACCGCAGGCGAAACGTTCGTTCGGCACACAGCAGGCATGAGCTTGCTTGCTTGTTCCTTTCTTTTGTGGCTCTCACTCACTGAGGGTGATTGGCCAAGAAGCCGGTGGTTAATGCAAGTCAATACCGATAGATTTTCTAGATTAGGGGAGAATGATTACTGTGTTTTGACTCACAAAATAATTTGGCGCAATGTCAGAAAAAAAAGAAAAAAGGGGGGGGGGGCGAAATAATAGAATTTATTGAATATCTGAGGTGGAATCGTTATATGAAATTCTCCTGAAAGTTGAATCATTGCAGTGTATCAGCTAAATATTAAGTGGTAGTGTGGCTAGTAAAATTCGAGAGCTGATCGCTTCCTCAGCAAGGTAATCTTCTTGTGCTATATATGAATTCGCACAGAGCCCCGCAGATGTTCTGTCGCTCTGTCCCAATGAAGTGGCCCCAAAAGACAAAATATTGGGAGTATTAAGTGATATTCCTAATTTTCTGAATAAAATTTTGAAGCAGTTTTTTTTTTATTTTTGAATCGGTGACATGTGATAGGAAAATTGTCGATAAGTTCAGGTTCGTTACAGCTTGAGCACAGAGGGGATGGCACCAGACCAGACCTGTTTAAGTAGAAATCAAGAGGTGGTACACGGCAACGTAATTTTGTTATCAAGACTTCCAATTTACGCGTGGGACACCATTTATTATTCCATGTGAAGTGCAGGTGCGAGAAATCTGGATTCGGTATCATGATTTTTGATGAGTCTTCAAGAAGGGAAAGTTTTCTAAACCTCGCTGCTGTTACATAAGCTGTAGGAGGCATGATTGGCACAATCGGAAGATCAAGAAATGTTCGCGCAAGTTTGTCAGCCATCTCGTTTATAAATATACTACGATGGCCTGGCACCCAAATCATTCGCACTAGACGAATGTTTGCTGGGATTAATGATTTAAAAGTCTCTAGTACTGCTGATGTCGACGACGATGATAAGAATGAACACACGGAATACGAGTCAGACACTATCACAACTATCGAATGAGTCGCAGGAAGTTTACGAATAGCTAGTATAACGGCCGTTAATTCCGCTTCAATTGGTGTATAATCTGGGAGGCGTAATGAAAATGGCCAGAATAATGAGAGAGAAAAAATACCCACACCTACCTTCTCGCCACGCATAGATGCATCCGCGTCAATTACTATATTAGTACCTAATTTAGACAGGTGTTGTTCTAATAAACTAATCAAATATTTAGAGGGCAAGTGCTTAGCGTTCATGGGGAAGATATCGTCAAATTTTATTTGCACTTGGCCGATTGGTGTGACAGATGGTGTGATCTCGAATATATTAACATTTAAAGCATCTAGAAGTGTTTGAACAAATAGCACTTGGGGTTTATATAGACGGGACCAATGCTCAATAAAAAAGACACCAGGCTCGGCAAAAAATACAAATTATCGCCTTCTTAAAGTGGACTCAGAAAATTTTTAAATAGGTGTTTACTGTTAAAATACGAAATCTGCAAGCAAGGGTGGGAATCCGAGCTTCTTGATTCAAAACATTGTTAGCTGTGAATTTTGGCACACCTAAACAACTACGTAGGGCTTCCCGCGCTAAGAGAATGAGGGGGTTTATTTTGTATGCTGGTCCACCAGCGAATAGTACACATCCGAATTCAAGAATCGGACGCACTCCTCTGGTGCCCGCACTTCGTTGTCTTCTTTCTTGAATGAACTGCATATAAATGATACAACTGAGCACGTCGATATAAACATTATGCTATTTGCAGAGGAGTGCGTACTGTACGACACATTGAAAATTGAAGATGACCAAGCGAAAACTCAGAGATTATCTGTACAAAGTGACTAAGTTGTGTTCAGACTGGTAAGTGGTAATAAATGCAGAAAAGACGATATATATAAATATATATGAAGACGTTTATATATAATATATATGAAGGTGTTTTTGGTACAGATACCTGCACACTAAAAAAATATCGAGTGAACAGGGTGTCTGTTTGTCCCACAACAATAATCGTCATCAGGCTTGCGTGCGCTTTCTTTCTTGAAAACTTGGCGCTGGCCACTTGCCTATCAAGAATGCAATGTAACCCTGATAATGGGCATGTCGATCGTGACCGGATTGTACCGGGCGCGGGGATAGCGCAAGGATGGAAGGCAATATAGATGACGATTATTGTTGTGGGACAAAAAGACACCCTTTTTACCCACTCTTTTTTTAGAGTGTGGGTGTCAAGTTAAGCAAGGACCTTGGCTGGAACACACATGTGCAGGAAATTTCTGAAAAAAAAAAACCTATGAATAAATTGTTCTTCGTCAAACGATCACTTGCTGGGTGTACCGTTGAAACACGCTCCCTTGCCTACACCAGTCTCATCCAACCAACGTTAGTATACGCCGGTGTTGCGTGATTTCCGCACACTAAAAACCACATCACTGCGCTTGAACGGGTACAAAGAAAAGATGCCTGTTTTATTTTCAATCGTTACAAGCATAGCGATCCCCCGACAGAGCTGGCTGGCCTCGCCACTTTGTATAACCGAGTGAAAGTACCCAGGTTAAATTTCCCGTATTTAATATTACACAATATTAGAAGCTTGCTCATTTTGCTGGGCAGTTGTGTCTCGTCGAAGCACCGGTGATTACACTAGTGCTCATTGCTCCCGCGAGAGGCGCAGCTTTGGTCTCCGTTTCAACAGCGCCCACTCAATAGCGCACCGCCGCTCAGCCGATGTTCGTTTCACTCTCGCGCGTGTTCTAGTTTGGTAAAAGACCATTAGGTGGTCATGCTATAAATAGCGCTCGCTCTTGGCGCGTTTCCTTTCTGTTTCGCCGGACATCACTCAGTAGGCGTCAATGCCGCTACCCGCTATCAACATCGCAGAGACTAAGATGACGGCGCGGAGGGCTCGCAAAGCGGCTGCAGCGCGGGCTCACCGTCAGTACCCTTCTTGAACTTTTCACTACATCCTATTTTTCAAGATACTCTGGCTTTGTACTTTACGGATCACAAAGTCATTACACTAAGAAGAAAATTATACAAAAAAGCTTATGTGATGCGCCAATTAGCACTTGCTCAGAATGTCTATATTGCATTATTATGTAGATATTTGTTTATTCTACAGTTATATGCATTGTTAAATATTGTGTACATAACGTGTATATAAAATCACACCACAACAACTCTCGTCTCACGTCGCTTTATGTCGATGATTGAGCATATGAACAAGGAATTCATGGTTTACCGGATTTAACTTCTGAAGCAAGCTTCTTCATCATCATTGACTTTGTCAATATGCGTGAGTCTTTTTAAAGGCTTACCCCAGGTCATCTTTACATACAGCTCTGCCAGCGAAATGCGACACAAATTCACGTTAGAACTTCGCCCTGATAACAAAATACTCCACTTTTCTTTTTTTTTTACAAGCAGTAAAAGGCAGGGATGCCTCAGATTAGTTAATGTTTCACTCAGCCTACGCTAGAATTATTCACCGAACTTGTGAAAGACGTTGTCTGACGTGGACACCTGTCCATCTGTTTATTGTTCTTCCTTTTGCAGTTGCTCTAGTCTACTTGATGAAATTGCTTACTGTGTGTAAGTTTAGAGCGTAAAATTTTGTTTATGGGTGTAAGCACTATAACCCATAAGCACAATAACCCATATGGGCGCATATTTTGTTTTTCGCATTACTTCTGTATATCTATGTAAAACGTTTACTCAAACACCTTGCAGTAATTCCTTTGATGAGTTGGCAGTGTTCGCGAATAAAGATTACACAAATAATAAACTTGTCACTGCACGTACAAAGAGGATTGAATGGGCGTAGGAAAGAGGCAATGAAAATGCCTTTTTTGAAATGAATGGTCTGCGTGCCACACAGCGCAGTAATCGCAAAGCATGACTGCCACGGTGTGCTGCCTTAATTATCGAGCTTGTTTGGTGGGGGGTAAAAAAAGAATCGGAGCGTTTATATTGGCCCCTCAAATGCTTCGTTGGTAATACTTTATTGCTCATTGTAGACACAAAAACGAACTAAAATATTATGCACAATCGCAGCCATTTCACAAAAAATGTAAATAGCACAGTATCACATATGTACTAAACCTTTGAGGGTAGTTTTAAGAGGTGATTAAACCCACAAGAGCAGGAACGGTACTGAATGCGTTTGGGCTCACAATGTAGGATGGGTTCTCAGTGAGATAGAATCAACCAGAGGGCATGGTAACCTCAATAGAAAATGATGAATTTTTGGTATGGAGCCACCATCTTGTGAATTGCCGTCGTCTTGATGGCAAACTCTGGACCGTCATCAACGACCGAGTCCAATGAACCGAAGCCTGCAGAAAATCAACAAAACAAGCAATGACACCGTAAAAAGTTACTTCATAAAGTTTTCTTTTCAACTCTCTCGCATTGAAAAAAATCAGTTAGACACGGCAGGGTGACCAAAATTGTAAAGACGGGGTATCGCTTCAGCCGACACTTCAACAAGACGACTTGGCTTCTTCGAGTCTTTAACTGAGTATCAAGCCATTCTGGTAGAGTTATTAACTGTGCACTTTCTACCGTGAAATCATCGTTGTCAGGCTGTGAATTTATTTGACAAACATAATTCAGTGAAACGCCTACAAGCCTACCCACCCTCGCACGTGAATACCTCCCCCTCACTTTGTTTTTGACTGAGAGCTTCGTCTCTTTATTTACTCAGCTAATTCAGCACGATGGCTCCTTCATTACCCGCCTGTCTTCTCAGTAGGGCTTTCCTCCTCTATTGCTTGAGCCGAAGGCGAGGGCATGAAACGTATACGTACACGTGCTGAGGAAAGAATCTCAGTTACAGCTTTGAATAGGACACGTTCATTTGCAAAAACTTAGGCTCCAGCAACACCTTATGTTCAGCGATTTAAGATCTCTCTAGGCTCCCATTTTCGGGTCCACGTCTACTTCTTTTTAGCGTAAATCATAGTGAAGTTGACGGGAAAGTGTCAGATCTCTACGAAATGTAGACTTTATCACATTATTAAATCATTAGTTTTTATTTGTATCGCATACGGTGATTTGTATCATTGCCTTAGGTAGTCTACACAAGCAACACAATCGGCCCAAACGAACAAGTTTTTAATTTTTATTGTTGTTGGGACACATTCAAGTGTGTTGCCACAAAATCAGACTCCCCACCGAATATAGTAAAGAATTCAGAAGAGTTGACTGTTGCGCGAGAGAGTGTTCTGGCATAGAAATCATCACAAGTAGCGGAACTAAACAAGACACACTGGAGCTCGTCCGTTCCTTCTCGTGTGTTATATTTAATTGCGCTACTGCCGATATTTTGTGTAAAAGAAAGGATAAATCAGGATTATAATAATATTTATTATTCTCATTGTTTTTCTAGCTTAAGTGTTATGTTGCCTTATTAGAAATAGTTTGTCTTTATTGGCACAAATTCCAAAATTAATCCTGCTATTCGTTCCCGAATTTATTTAATTATTTACAATACTGCCACTCTCATCCGAGAGCATAGCAGGAGGGCATACAAATGTGTGTACAAGAAACATGTGAATCTGCAGGCTTGATTCATGAGGAAGAACAAAAAAGAACATATGCACACAAAGACGGAATAATTGCACAACTTTACGCATAAACACGCCTATATTACAAGCTGTAGTAACAAGAAGAAGAAATAAACCAAAGAAACAAGTCCATCAAAATGGTAAGAATAGTTCCAAGACAAGGCTGCAGCAATGAAATACACAAGAAATTAACAGATTTGTAAGCTGGAAATGCTACACGTGTGCTGTTCGGTTAGCGCAACAATAAGTGTTATTTCTACACTGAATAATCTAGCATTTCGACGAACTTGGATAACGAGTCAGTGCTTGTTATCACGGAGTCGAGTTTATTCCACTCGCGTATTGCCATGGGAAAGAAAGAGTACATAAACGTGTCGTTACTGCAGGAATATTCGGTTATGGTGCGGTCGTGTTTGTGACGTGTAGGGTGGGTCTGAGAAAAAGATATGTATTTATGCGTATCAATCTTGTAACTGTTATGAATTAGCTGGAACAAGAATTTTAGGCGAGCGTGCCTCGCTCTAACTGACAAACTTTTTATTCCTGAATCAGCCAAGAGATTGGTGGGAGAGTCAGTCCGTTTATATTTATTGTAGATGAACCTTGTAGCCTTTCGTTGGACACTTTCAATGTTTTTCATGAGGGTAGTCGAGTGCGGAAACCATATCGTGCTTGCATATTCCAGAAGCGGTCTTACGAACGTTCTATAAGCTAACAGCTTGGTAGGAGTGGGGGACGTCTTTAGGCACCGTTTTAGGTAGAACAGTTTGCGCAACGCGGCGGCGGTAATATTTGTGATGTGTGAATCCCATCTAAGATCAGAAGTAAGCGTAATTCCTAAATATAATTCCTAAAATAATTCCTAAAGTATTTGTATTCTAGCCTTATTAGAACCTTACTTGAACCTTATTGTTTGACCTGATGCACCACTATATTTTCTTGTATTTTGACATATTGTCTTGCATATTTGGTCACTTTTACGCTAATGAAATATGATGTCAAAATTACGACAACTATCTCAATGCGACAACTTGCTCATTTGAGAGGTTTTTTTACACTTTTATTATCTTTCATTCTTGCAAGTCAAGTGCGCTCCGTATATACTCGAAGTATAGACTGCACTATCATCTGAACAAGTCAATGTTTTCACGTCATAAGACTGACATATCACAGAAAAAACTCACAGTATCTCAAACGTGTTTGTCTCAGTCAGCTCCAAGGCGAAATACATTCTGTTCTTTTTGTCTGTATACTGAACGTGCCGCGCCCGCCTCTGGAACATTTCAGAATCAATTGTTGTTTAGCAACACTGCTAGGATTGGAGACGCTGTATACTTTCCGCTCCTCGCCATGTTTTGCGTTGCGTCCGGGATCTTTCACCAAGTATTGATGTGAGATGATGACTTCGCGATGCTTCGTCAGAAACTCTGTCAATATTGACGTCAATGTATGACGTCATGATGACGTCACCTGGGAGTGTCATGACGTGATGTTCATTCGCGTCATGTGTGGTGACGCAGCCGTTGTGAAAGAGCGGCCAGTTTTTGTGTATGATGAGGCGTCTGAGGATTTCTCCTTCACAAGCCATTTGGGATTCTTTTCACTGACGTTCGTTGAAATTCGCATTCTTAAATGAGCAGCTCTTATCATATTCATCAAAAGCAAGTAAAAAGTATTAAAGCATAGCCAATCAGAGAATGTATTTTACCGAATGGTGTCATGTTGATGTAGTCTTGACTGCTGATGAGGACAGCGTATTCTTGAAACCATGGTCAACCGTCCTCTCTTCTTTGCTTTGCCATAGACGATAAACAACATGACCAAACCAGAACTCTCTTGCAGTTTTTTCATAAGCTATCTGTAAGAAAAGGAGGCTCTCGAAGATTAATGAGGTACTGAAGGAACCTCCGCGGTGACGTTCACAACCTACTGGAGCACTAAACAGAAAAACATGAGTTTTTCTTATTAGTATATCACTGTTTCAGAACTCCGAAATCACCACATTTCTCTCAAAACTATGGTTGGTATGTGAGAAAGCATGCCAAAATATTGTTCTGCTCGCGACGTCATCACAAAATTTTCGCACCACACGCAATGACGTCAGAGACTTTGGTAGTGTCTACTATGTTCGACGCAACTTAAAATCAGTAAGACTGCGAGAAACTGTCTTTTGAGTTTGATATAGACTTCGAATACCAATTTTCAGAAAATTCCGTTGAACCAATGTCACCAGAGCACAACAAAGCGCGCTTTTATATAACTGGCGGCATGAACGAAGGCACACGGCATCAAATTCAAAAATAAATCTTTGATCTTAATATTCCGTGCCATTCGTAAACGCATGATAGGCAGGTTAGGGTAACTAGTGCTTTCAAAATACAATTTTTGACCTAAACCAATTCATTGTTAAATTTATTGTACCATTACTCTGTCTGAATAATTTACAACTTCATCCAAAATATAAGTATTGTTTTCAAATTTTGCACACAAACAGAACCAACCACAGTATTTGTCAATTAAGTAAAGCTATTCTGCGTCTAGAAATCACCACAATCATGATGGTAAATGAGAGCGCATAGTTATGTTTAGCACCATTTTATACAATAAAAGAAGTGTTTTATCAAAGTGTCGCACTTCTTCGCTTCAAAATCACTTTCTTCCGAGCAAATTATCCCAAGAGCTATGACTTAACCATTTTATGTGAGATTTATTTATGCTAAACTTATAATGAATTGTTCGAAGTGTGACTCACGTGAAAAATGAATATAACGAGACCCTGCAGAGAGCTGCTTATGACGAACAGATACTCGAAAAGATGACCCCACTCATGTGATACAGATCGTATAAGACTCAGGTATGCGAAAATCCACGTAAGTCCTGTGAGGAAAAGAAAGTGTAAGTGTGAGACAAATAAGAGCAATTGACACTTTTGCGAAAACTGTTGTGATATAATAAATGTCTGGTACATGTGGTACATTTTACTATGTTAGACTTTTGTAAGTGTGACAAACAAATGATTTCACAAGCGGCAAACGAGAGTTTCCTTTTACTACTAAGGTAGCTATTTTACTTTTTGGAATATCAGTGCGTAATAACCACAATGCACTATAACCACATTGAACCATTGATAACCACATTGAACTATTTCAGAATGAGGCGTTAAAGCCACCATCATAATGGCAAGCGCTTGGAGCAACAAACAGGCTGCAATAGGTATTGATGTGTTGTACATTAGCATTGTCATTATCGAGTACCCCGCTGACCCGAAGTTCTGTGCTGCAACTTCTAAATCGGTGTTTGCAAAAACCATGCACTGGGTGCTGTAGGAATGCTATGAGTACTTGTATGTTGATTTCAAATAAAGATAGGCCCTATCAGAAAGGCCGAACGTAAATGTCTCAAGAGAAAAAAGAAGTAATAGAAACCTTGGTAATGTAACTGTTATCCATACATCATCAATTAAAAACAAGGCAATGTGATGGCTTATTTCAGCCGAAGGTGCAGCACAAAATGCCTCACGTGGCAGCCACAGCGGCACACGTAGATGCATTCTGAATGCAAAAAATATTTGGAATTGGTAACTGTGAAACAACACGCAAACAAACAAAGATTAAGTGTACTCAGATTAAGCTCTTCACCAAAATTCTTTACATTTTATTAAAAACAATTATTGTTTACTCGTTCATTATGAAAGGCAGGAACTTCTTGGACAGAGAAATGCAACCCACCCAAGACAATCGGGGCTTTCTCCGCAAGGCAAAGACTAGTAAGGAAGCACAGACAGAAAATTGACTGGAAATGCAATTTTTAGAATTTATTTTCATCGCAGACTATACCAGCAGTGTTTACGAGTGTTTCCACGGTGTGGAGCGTTGTTAGGCGCAACGTAAAGCACTTTTAAATGGCGCCAAACGCACCTCACCCCTTGGCTACACATACTTATGGTACGAGTTCTGACAACGCATTGTAGCATTTGCTTTGTTGTAAATGTGAGACGGCGCAAACGCATTTGAAAGAATAATCGCTTAGATTGGCAGCCCATGTCTTGCTAAATCTTTTTTTCAGTAATTCAGTTCTTAGTCTAATAGATCGTTGAAGTCGCTGAAGTTTGTGCGCGAAAGTCTGTACATCCGCGTTCACACCACTATACACCCACGTTCTGCTCCTGCGTTCTGCAATTCTTGCCATTCCGGGAGGCTAACAGCTGTGATGTGCATCACATACGCACTGAGGACGAACCACTACCTTGGTTGTTACTACATCAAGGCGAGAATTGGATATTCTCGCAACACTGTACCTTCGAGAGCACAGCCAAGACACTGAGATGCCACCAATCAGTGCAAGGGCTGCCAAGTTTGCAAGTGATCTGCGAAATTTGTTTTTCGACTTACATGGCTGCAAACTAACATAAATAACGCATAATTTATTTCATAAATAATGACGACAGATATGCAGCGGGTTGAATTTTTCCTCACTTGACGCCAACCCGAAATTTAAATCGCGTTTTCTTCAAACCACTGGTTTTGTCAGAAAATGAACATTTTATATGCAAACACTGTAGCTACCAAGAGCAATTTTTGTGACAATTCTGAATGCCTGGCGCTCTTTCTGAATTAAAATAATGATGTTGAGTTCAAAATTTCATTTTAAGAATGCTTTTCTTTATGAAAAAAGTTTAAGGTTCCATTGCTCAAAGATCTACAATTTTTACAAAAGAATGGTCATGCCTACAGTTGTTATTTTGCTTATGAAAAATATTGTGGGCAAACTTAGGCACCAACAGATTCATCACCTTTCGACACGCAAAATTTTTTTCACCATTTTGTTTCAAAAACAAAAATATAAACAATAATTTTAGATTACTTTTAAAATAAGGACGTCTAGCGTATGACGCAATATCTTCTGGTCGGGAGAAAGCATTGAAGAAGAAGAAACGCGGACAACAAGAAAGACGAAAAAGAAAAACAAGACATTTCGATTTTTAACAAGGCTTTCGCGTGGGAGCCGATATGCCTTGCTTTTTTGTTTTAAACTGTTTCTTTTTGCGGTTGGCATTTTGTCTGATTTTACTTTTAAAGTGGATTCGTAATTTCTCGCCATATTCGTAAGACTTTGGTAAAATCTTCATTGAAGAAGTGTGGAGATTTTAGCTAAATAGCTTTGCTTCGCTTTAGATATGCTAGTTGGTACGACCCACTACATCGTGAGTGGCTCTTGATCCTCTTGATCATCTTTTACTGTGAAGTACTCAGGTAGTGCCTACATTTATGATAATGGACTATTATTTTTTAAATGGTCCTTCCGGAGCATACTGTGTGACATGCGCTCTTATATAGCATCTGTATTGTTTAAAAGCCTTTTTGAAATAGCAAACAACACTAAATCTATGCTTTTCTTTCAGTGTTTTGTCTTTTGGCGATTCTAGCTACCCATAATCCAGGTCATAAAGCCACAATTTGTCACATACTGCCAACACTTTCCTAGTTTTCTGTGACCGAATTTAAGCCGTGAGAGGCACAGTTAGTGCAACCACTTTACAGACCTTGAGATACAATGAGCTCTCTTTCTGTTGCATTTTCGACCAGTTCTAAAATATACTGACAACATGTAGTGCGTAGTTTTACCAAATGAACGCACTAATTGCACGAAGATAGTTCAGGCTTGCCTGTTCGTAAAGTTTACACGTTGGTTCATGGGATTGAACCCCAATCGCGCTAGCGGTGTTTTGATGTAGGCAAAATAGTAGCAACCAGTGGGGTTATACTTGGGTGCAAAACTACAGGTCGTTGAAATTGGCGGAGCCTTTAAATGAGGCATATCTCATATTCCTGTCCCGGTTTGTAGACGGAAACCTAGCTTAGCTGATCAGGACGTCTTGAGGGGCTAGTTGGTTCATTACTTCAAAGAAAAAAATTGCGCAATAAAAAAGACACCCCAAACAAGGGACACTGAAACAGGTCGAACGCAAACTACCAACTGTTTTTTTTTATTGTAGATTGTTGGTTAAATAGAGAATCCGAACATAGCTACGCCGACGCACCAGGGTATATCACATACTAACGCACCTTTTTGATCAAAAAGGAAATTTCTGCACCGTATAGCAATATCGAGGCCTCACCTCCACAGCCATCGTTTTTTGTGTTACTGAACAATGCTTCCAAAACCTCATGAGCACACGTGTTTCTTCTAAGGCAGAGTACCGTAATCTGTTGATATAGTGCTTCACATCCATAGACTGCGCAGTGTGCAGGCAAATTACCCATTTCGTTATTTTCGACTGACAGCTGGTGTTCCTGCAAATGGTCGTTTATGCAGCTGCCTGTGTAGCTCACATAAAAATTGCAGCAGGACAACGCAGCTCCGTATACCACCTCTACATCACATTGCACCATGGCTTCCCATGCTTCTTGCTACAACAGCGCTCTTCGCCGCTTGAAATTCGTGAGCACAACCTCGAAAGTTTCTTTGGTGCAGAAGGCACCATGCCAACTCCGTGGTGCTTGGCAAATTTCTTCAGGTTGTGTGTTACCCTGTGTAAGTAGGGTAACACTATCGGCTTCTCACGCTCACTGGACGCGTCTCTCAGCCGTCGCGTACTTTTAGGTCCTTCAAGAGCGTTTCAGCCACCGCTTCCAGCAGAGACGGCGGGATCGCTGCTGCTTTTAGTTGTCGAATCTTCACTGATTGCTTGATATGTTGGTTTTAACGTCCTAAACCAACCTTATGTATATGACAGACGCCGTAGGGGAGGGCTCCGGAAATTTCGACCGCCTGGGGTTCTTTAACGTGCACCCAAATCTGAGCACACAGGCCTACAGCATTTTCTCCTCCGTCAAAAATACAGCTGCCGCAGCCGGGCTTTGATACCGCGACTTGTGGGTGAGCAGCCGGGTACCGTAGCTACTAGACCACCACTGCGGGGTATTCGTCCAATCTGAACAAAGAAGCTGACTAGCCTCTCAAATAAGAACTACTTCACCAGCGCAGACTCAAAACACGTTGACGCGATTGCCCTCTTTACTATTTTAGAATGTGAAGATGTGTACGGTAAAGGTTTCTTTCTAGCACGCGGACGGTACGTAAGACAAGTATGCTGATCCTTGAATGTGACCTTAAGATCTAAACACTGAAGCGTTTTTTTCAGGCGGTAGCTTATAGGTAAATAATAGACTCCTCCCATACTTCTTAAGCTTTATAAAAACGTTGTCCACATTATAGTTTGTGCTCAATAGCTAGCCCAGTACAACCAGACAATCGTCTACGTACCTGAAAATCTTTAACACTCCCTTGCTCTTAAGTGCTTCAAACAGATCGCGGTCAATGTAGGCTAAATATAGTAACAAGACAGGGGCAACACAGGAACCAACACAAATGCCTTCTTTTTGCAGGTACAATCCTTGTTAAACCTTACGAAGGTGTGCTTCAAATAAACTCGAAAAGCGACATAAAACTGTCAATTCTCAGACTCGTTGTTTTCAAACTCTATAGCTGAATTCCCTAAAATGCAGTCAATACCACACTTAAAAAGTTCGACATGTGAAACCGACTAGAAATCCTCTTGTACAATCGCTGAGAATGTCAACCCAGGTGAAACTTTGGCATCAAAAAGCTGGAAAACTTCTATAAAATTCTCCGTGGCGGATGAATCATTCACACTCAACCGATTTGAGCACTTTAGTAAAAACAGGCTAGCCTGGTGCTGCCATGAGCCTTTTTCACTTACCATAGTGCGAAAGAGAATCTCTACTTTATGCGTTTTAGCACTGAAAACACTTGTAAGGTGCAGGATTTACTTCTTTGAATCGCATTCCCAAGTTTTGTTAGCTTGATATTCTTACCCAATGCCACTTCTTTAGTTTTGACACCATCTTTAGTAGGCTTTACCTTGACGAAGTTCTCGATATGCTGCCGAGCTTTCTCCTGGTAGGTTGCTGTCGGCATAACCATGAAGCCCGCTTCTTTATCAGCCGTCGTCAAGATGAGACCTTTGCCTTGAAGTATCTGACAATGTCCCCCAGGTGGTCTTTAGTTGTCCTCTTTGCTGGTGCACTCGTGCTCTTTTGAAAGGTTTTCAACTCCTTCTTTTTTTAGCTCACATTGAACGCTATCTGTTTGAGGATTTCAGGAGTGATGGATTGTTAAATATTTTCAGGTAGGTAGGCAACTATCTGGTTGCTGTGGACAAGCAAATGAGCACAAACAATACTGTGGACAACGTTTTAAAGAAGTTTAACATGTATGGTAGGGGTGTAAGTGTTGCTTACGAGCATGCATATTTACTTAGCAAGAAAACAAAACGCTTCAGTTTTCAGATCTTAGGCTCATTTTTAAGGATCAGTATGCTTGTTATGCGTACGGTCCACGCGCTCGAAAGAAACCTTTACTGTACACATCTTCACTATATAAAATAGTACAAATGGCGATCGCGTCACAGTGTTTGGAGTGGGCGCCGGTGAAGTCGTGCTCACTTGAGAGGCTAGCAGGCTTCTGTGCTCAGATTGGACGACCAAAGGCAGCTGCGTTTCCGTCATCTGTGCTGGAAGCGGTGGCTGATACGCTCCTGAAGAAGCTGAAAGGACGCTCGCGAAAGCGACGGCTGAGAGACGCGTGCAATGGGCGTGAGAAGCCGATAGTGTTACCCTACTTACACAGGGTAACACACAATCTGAAGAAGCTTGCCAACCGCCACGGAGCTGGCATGGTGTTTCTGAACCAAAGAAACTTTCGAGGTCGTGCTCGCCATTTTCGAGTGGAAAAAGCGCAATAGCCTCTGTAGCAAGAAGCATGCCAACCTAAGGGTGCAATGCGATGTAGGAGTGGTATACGAGGTTTCGTTTTCCGGTGGCAGTTCTTAGGTGGGCCACACAGGCCGCTGCATAAACGACCGTTTACGGGAACACCAGCTGTCAATCAAAAACAGCGAAATTGGTAATCTTCCTGCCCACTGCACAGCCTGTGAATGTGAAGCACAATTTCCGAATACTAATATACTGGCTCATAGCAGAAACACGTGTGCTCGTGAGATTTTGGAAGCGTTTTTTATTACCTTGAAAAGTGATAGCTGTGTAAGTGAGGCCTTGGTATCACTCTACGGTGCAGGAACGTCCATTGTGATCGATATTGTGGGTTACTATGTCATATACCCTGGTGCGTCAGCGCAGCTATGTTCTGTTTTAATATTTAACCGACGATCTCCAGTCAATGAAACAGTTGGTAGTTTGAGCTCGACCTGTTTATTTGTTCCTTCTTTGTGGTGTTTTTTTGATTAGGTATGCAATTTTGTCCTTTGAAATTTACTTAGCATTTATGGATTACTTCTTCTTTGCGGATGAAAAACGAGAAAGTGACGTTCTCGTCACCTCCACTACCCTTCGCACAAGCAATGTATTCTCCACCCCACTTATTGTTTCAAATCGCCTGATCATTGTCGGGAGTGATCGCACGATCCTATCCGGATTTAATGCTGCTCAGCTACACGCTCTTATCCCCACTTGCGCAGTAATCAACGTACAAAATGAAGTGATTTACGTGTGATACGAAACGTGAAAATATGTGATACCAACCCAGGAGGAAGACGATGCAGATGGTGGCACGCAGCTGTGCTTTGGCGAGCTCCACTTGGCTTTGAGTGCTGCGCAGCCCTGTTTGACGGCGGCAGTATATGTTGAACACTATCACGCAGAACACGATAGTGTTGGCCGCCAGGATCACTGCCACGGGCAACAGGAAGCTGAAGAGCAGAGCCTTGTCTTCTAGCCAGCAGCTGCTCATCGTGACCCACGTGGGGAGAAAAGCCCGAGGTAAGTACATAAGCACGACAACCAATAAGAAATTCAACTTAGTGGCCTTAAATAAGACGCAAAACTACTATAAGCACCTGATATCTGGAAAATCCAGATTTAAAAGCCCATTAAAATGTACCATTTGCCGTATGTTTTCACGAATCTTAGGAAATTCTGTATTGACACCGATACTCACAAGTCTTTGCGTTTGTGGTAGTGCATTGGGTTTATTATAAGGACGCATAGTATCACAAGCATTGGAACACCTGAAAAAGAAAACGGGAGAAAATATGTTTTAGGGTGGAGGCAGGATTTGTTGTATCTTTAATAACAGACTGTACATTTTTCTTGTGCAGAACGCCCTATAAACAGAACACAGTTATTTTTATGGACTTTTGAAGAAAGACGTGCCGTAGGTCGCAGATCCTGCTGCATTGGCGGGATAAGAAAAGAATAACTACTCGCAAGTTTGCTCGGCTTTTTCCACAATAAAACATCGGGGATCCTTCGCATAAAACTACTGCAGTTGTAACTGAAAAAAACTCATACCATTCCTTGCTCATGCTAGAGGGCCAATCTAGGATAAGCTATAATTCCAATGCTGATGAAGTCCAATGCTCATAAATCCAATGCTGATGGATCAATAATAAACGCCATAGCAAGAAATCGGTATGTCACAGGAATGACAAGCAGCTCGACATTTGTAGCGCGCGGCTCGAACACAGAGGGACCATCATTTTGCCGTAAGGTTAAGTTGGGCACTTCTCAACATGAACAACAAGAATAATAAAAACACGCCACTGACTACTGAGATATATTTTTGAAATTACACAATGTGTTCTTGCCATGCCTACGTTGGTATAAAATATCAATAATCTGTGACACATACCACCTTCTGCTGACACATACCAGCCAACGCGTATTTGCCACTACTTTCGAAACCATGAAATACAATTAGCTGCCTTTAATTTGCAGTTTGAACCCTTTCTACAATGTGCTGACAACCTGTAGTGTGGAATTTCTCGCTAACGTCTTTTGCCAATCTTGTGCTAATATTTTGTAGAGAATGTCATGTCCTATCTTGTTATCACTGTTGTCCATGTTAAAACGTGCGCAACCTAACCTTACGATAAAATGATCGCTCACCAACTAACCCAGCTCTTAACCAATAGAACAAAAGGGGGCACTCATAAACTACACACACTTATGGACTAGATAAGCACGAACTAACAGCTGTCACAGTACCATGTCTGAGTTGGCGCTGTGCGCTTTAAGTGTCGACAATGTAGAATCTGGCCCTCTTCATTTTTTTTTTCAAACAGTGGAGTGTGAAGTGGCTCGTGTTCGTTGTCCGCCACCACGCAGTGGCTTGTGATGAACGGTGTGCCCGGCGTTCTTTCTATTGTGACAGTATCTATATAGAGATCCTCGGCTAGATTTTGTCGTCAGCGTCACTGTCGCTCACACTATATCTATAAGCACCTCTCTATATCTAAACATAAGAAAGAAAAGGAATCCAGAAAAACCTCCGGCACGCAAAATCGAATGTTCGACCTTTCGTTCGCGAGTCCGCGGCGTGAGCCACTGAGTCACGAAGAAAACCTCCTTCAATGTTGAAATGGCAAGCTATTTATATCTACCATGGGGTAAATGGCGTTTTCTCATCATTACCAGTGACATGGCGCGATGAGCGTGCTCAGCGCAAAGGTGGGCGCGACAGCTCGTCGCGATGAGCCAATGCGCGCTCATCTCCCACGCGTGCTTTGCTCCGCGGAGGGAAGGTGCCTTATCCTAACACTTATCCTGTGTTGCAAGAGAATTTAACTCATTTGGTATTGTTCAGAACGATTTCGTTTAGTTGCCGGACACGCAAAGATCACTTGGCTTACTGCACAGGCTCCGCGCGCGCGCTTTTCAAACAAATCAAAGTAACAACTTGAGAACTTTTTAGTTCTTACTGATATTTGTATTTGTGATAACGTTTCGTGCGCCATTTTTGTTTAAACAGCGGATTAAGTGACGAGCTGTAAAACGTTGTTAGTTGGCTCTCGTCCTGCGTGTGCTGTTTTCACGCGTCGTTAGTGCGTGAGCATTGCGCCGAACGTTTCGATCTGCTTGCCCTTCTCAGCGTTACATTCCAAGATGTTGCTATCATATTCATTGCTTAGCCCTTGCAGCGAAACTGTGACTTTCGTTCTTTCCACACCACAAATGAAAATAGAAAGGGTTCAGGCTACTGTGCGTGTCTGAAGGCCATTTTAAATTATTTGCGCACTGCTAGCACTTTCGGTGTCTAGGTGACTATCTACCTATCTAGCCGTGTATGTCTGGGTGCCCCCTTCACTTTGGGTGAACTGAAATTATTATGTGAGCATAAGATGGCTTGACAAATACGACTGGCTGGTTATGACATCATTAACGTCACAATCTCTTCGCGCACGTCGTCGAAGACAAGAAACCTGTGGGTGGGTATGTGCCACTAGTATGCCGGTATGTGCCACAGGTGATTTACAGTTCATATCTGTGCAGGAACAGTGAGAAGACACATGTGCAATTTTACCCCGTGAGCATTAAGGAAAAGCGGACATCGGCTGCGTCAACCCGTCGAATGTGAAGCGAAAATGTTAGGGTACCAGTAGGAATCCAACCCCATCATTCTGCGTTGCAAGCGAGAATTCTACCACAAAGCCACCCCAGGTCTCGCATTTGCTTTTCAAATAGGCTGTAATAATCGTTATGCGTCTATTGGAGATACAGAAATGGCTGTCAAACTTTATAAACATTACATATGTACTCCTACAATTTAGGCTGGCGAAAATTGTGGAACTCACTCGGACTGACTCACGAAACATATTTTGCACTTGGGACTTACTCGAACTCATGCTCCCAAAAACTCTATTCAACTGCACTCACTCTGACTCGAACTCACAAAAATATAACTCTTCTAGACTCACTAAAAAAGCTGAAACTGAGTAGATAAGACCATAAGTGGTCAAACATCAGTGCAACTCACCAAGATTTTCTCGAAAAAAAATTATCTCGCGCTGTGAACATACTCGTACTCAGGCTTACTAAAACTCTCTCACTAAACTTTTTTTAACTGTACTCACACAGTCTGAAACTCACCAAAATATTACTCAACCGCACTCACTGAGACTCAGACTGACGGCTTGATCTGATTCTGAGTGAGTCGACTCTTGAGTGAGTTCGCTGACCTATGCCTATGAGAACGCTGATGAAAAATAACTACAGCCAAGCACAATGCACTGAAAATGAATGAAAGTTTATATCAACCAAGGCACGGCGTGAAGAGACATTTTAAATTTATTCAGAGAGCACTAAGCAATATCAGTACATCTCTACGAAGTGAATGACGACGAATGGGCGAAGCTACAGGTCCTAAGAACTCTAAGGTCTGCGTTGAAGTGACTGACTTGTATAGAGGACGGAGAGATGGAGGGAAGGACAGGTTAACGTATGCACGGATATACGGACAGTAGGACGCCCGAACGCGTAGATAGGATGCACGGATAGATGAATGGACGGATAGACAGGTGGACAGGCGGACAGATGGACGGCGCGGTAGGTCATGTATTTAGCTGTCGTATGGTTTATTGCACACAAAGTCGGTTGTTTACATATCTGTTCTCGTTTTTTGTTGTGGAGGTGCTCAGTGTAGGTTTGCGTTTTGTGGGGCGTGATGGGCGCCAACAAGGTCGGCCTTATAGAGCTTCTTTCCTGAAAGATGGAATGGGCTACATTAACCCAACAAACGCATTAAATAAATGTGGTCGCCGCAAGAATCTAACCCTATATTTTGCGTGATAATCAAGTATTATACGACAAAGCTGGCCTCGCAACTGATTTTCAAGTAGACCGTATTGTTTGTGGAACTTCAATTGTGGTTGCAGTGCTGCCTTTGGAATGCTTTGAACAGTACCTACGTACTTTTATCATGGAGCCGTCACATTGAGATAACGGCAATTGTAGGGAAGTGCCGTCCAGAAAGCTCATTTTTCTAGCAGTGTGCAGGGCTGCCATGCTCACTAGCGCAAGCGCTGCATATGAGCTTACTGCTCCTCATCATTGCTGGCGACTTTAATTTGGTTGTTTTGAAACACAACCTGACCTTTTCTATGTAGATAGAAGTTTCAGAAATCTCGTGCTCACGACGAGAAAAGGTGTGATTGACGCTTCTTCGAAACAGACATGAACAAATTCAAGCAATCATGCATACGTCATACTTCAGTGTACATATACCCCTCATTGCCGCTTAAACAGATAATTATAGGGGCAAATATACTTGTGCCGATGGTGATAACATTTCACAGTGATTTTGCCCAAGTTAAAGAGATTCCAGCAGCCCACTGGACGCGTATTCATGACCCATCGACACGCGGACACCACAAATGTACGCGTATTCGCGTTGTGTACGCATATAACCACCATAACGTGCTCATGAAACATTTCACCCTACCGCAGTTCATCGTGATAATGCGTGTTGTTCGTACTCGTATGCCTAACACCCTTACATCCACTTGCTTAGCATAATGATGATTCCCAAAGCACGTGCGATCTGCTATTTTCTAAGGTGAAAGAAACAAAAAAATGTATAATTGTTTGATTGAGAACATGGTCAAGCTCCTCCAAAACCTGCGTGCCCACAGCGGTAAATTGCGCATATAAATAGCTCACAGTCATTACGCTGGCGCATTCACAGCGCGTGGTTGTGTTAGCAAAAGCGACGTGCTGTGTTCGATGAGTCACAGGTTTGAGCTACTGGGCGGGTGCTCCAGCTGAATGTTCCCGTCATGATTATTTTTTTGCGCGTTATATATATTATAATCAGTTAGAGTAATATGTGAATGGGCCAGTTTGTCTTCGTTCAGATATGGGCTATAACAGTAAGAGAGCGTTGTGAAGAATGATTCATATATTATTTGCCAACAGTTTCGAGAGGGCTCCTCCCTTCGTCAGGGGATAACTGATTCCCTGACGAAGGTAGGGGACCCTCTCGAAACTGGTGGGAAATAATATCTGCATCATTGTTGACAACGCTTTCATTGCAATATATATATATATATATATATATATATATATATATATATATATATATATATATATTTATATATATTTATATATATATATATATATATGTATACATATATATATATGAGATCTAACAGACAGTAATGCCAAGGAATGTATAGGGGAAGTCATAAGTACAAATGGAATGTCAATAATAAGAAAAAAACGTGGGTGAAAA